GGAAAATATCACTCTATGCGAATCAGTGGAAAAATCCGATTCAAAAAGCCTAATTCAAAAACTAGAAGCCAAAAAAGTAAATTGCGCAGCACGATCTGAGAGCCACTGACACTTTCGGCACTATTTCTCGAAAACGCACACTCGAAACCGAAAAAAAATATCCAATCCCGTTAAGGAAAAAATCACTCTATGCGAATCGGTGGAAAAATCCGATTCAAAAAGCCTAATTCAAAAACTAGAAGCCAAGAAAGTAAATTGCGCAGCACGATCCGAGAGCCACTGACACTTTCGGCACTATTTCTCGATAACGCACGTTTGAAACCTACAAAAAATATCCAATCCCGTTAAGGAAAAAATCACTCTACGCGAATATATCACTCTATGCGAATCAGTGGAAAAATCCGATTCAAAAAGCCTAATTCAAAAACTAGAAGCCAAGAAAGTAAATTGCGCAGCACGATCCGAGAGCCACTGACACTTTCGGCACTATTTCTCGATAACGCACGTTTGAAACCTACAAAAAATATCCAATCCCGTTAAGGAAAATATCACTCTATGCGAATCAGTGGAAAAATCCGATTCAAAAAGCCCAATTCAAAAACTAGAAGCCAAGAAAGTAAATTGCGCAGCACGATCCGAGAGCCACTGACACTTTCGGCACTATTTCTCGATAACGCACACTCAAAACCAAAAAAAAATATCCAATCCCGTTAAGGAAAAAATCACTCTATGCGAATCAGTGGAAAAATCCGATTCAAAAAGCCTAATTCAAAAACTAGAAGCCAAGAAAGTAAATTGCGCAGCACGATCCGAGAGCCACTGACACTTTCGGCACTATTTCTCGATAACGCACACTCAAAACCAAAAAAAAATATCCAATCCCGTTAAGGAAAAAATCACTCTACGCGAATCAGTAGAAAAATCCCATTCAAAAAGCCTAATTCAAAAACTAGAAGCCAAAAAAGTCTATTACGCAGTACAATCTAAGAGCCACCGACACTTTCGGCACTATTTTTCGAAAACGCACGTACGAAACACAAAAAAAATATCCAATCCCGTTAAGGAAGAATTCACTGTATGCTGTTATACCGAAAAAATCTAACCGAAAAGCCTACTTTCAGAAATATAGGCGAAAAAAGTATACTGTGTAGAACGATTTCACAGGTACTTGCTTTTCCGTTGCTGTGTTTCATATATGCACTTTCAATCATAAAATAATCGCCCTACTGGTTGAAGAACAATCTATTCTATGCAGAAGTAATGAAATATCTTAATCCACAATCAAAATTTAGAATGTAATAGCGATAATACATAATTATGTTGCAATTGAACGTCAAGATCAAAGAAAAATTGAAAAAAACTATTATAAAGCTGCCTATTCAGTAATGTTGATTAAATATTCCAATGGGCAGTCGAAATCTTAATCTCCTACAGCGGATAGTAACGGCCAATGCGGTAGTATTATAGGATCCCACACTCACACCACTTCATTTCCCACATGTATCACTATTTACACTATGTAACATCACTTTTTTTTCACATGTAGTATATGATCACCGAAGAAATGTTCACAGTTAGTAATCTTGAACTTCGTAAAATAATTATAATGTCAATCAGCAATATCACTACTTCACGAAACATTTTAAGATTTAATATTTCACTTTGACGCGTGAAAATATTCCAGTATTTGTTATCGGTGTGCTTGCTTGCCGCCAACTGGAAGTTGGCTGCAGCCGGAAACGTTAGGTAATTTTGTAGCGGGAAAATGTTGCATCTTTGAAATAGCTATACAATAAAGTATCGATGTAGAATATCAAACGATGTTTCTTATATTTATTAATATCAATGAAGCAAATATAAACATATTTCTGTTACGAAATATTCCAAATTTCTATAATTAATTCATGAACTTGAATTATTAATTATTCCATTATACTAATGGGAAGGTAAACCATTAGTATCTTCGACAATGGTTCAAACACTCTATGCAATAATCATTAATAATGAATTAAATAACAAGGAATTCATATCCAGAATTATATTAGAAAGCCCGCTAAAGCTGTGCCTGTACGATGCAATTATAAAAGTTGATGAATTAATTATAAACGTACATGAAGTCACAGATGAAGGCGAGTGATTTTGTTCTTGGTAAAAAATAAAATGAAACTACGATGGTTATATGCTTAGGTACTTTTTATTCACTCTGAAAGTTTCACATATACACGTTAATTACTAACGACATAATTCTTCGGTTCCTTTTTTGCATCTCTCAATTTATTTTTTATCCTTTCCTTCATTGCACTGAAAATATAAATATAAGACAGTAAATAAAAAATCCTACTTTCTATAACATAGTTATAATGTAAACAATAAACTAACTCTTTCTCTTTTTTTATAACTTCTAATTTTTCTTAAGTTTCTACTTCGTCGTCACTTTCTTAATCGCTAATACGGTCTTCTTTCCTTTCTTTATTTGGAGGTCCAGGTTCAACAGCTGGTTGTGAGCTTAATACTGGATCAATTAAATGATTACGAGCTGATTTGCTCTTACCACTATACTTTTTATTTAATATCGCAGATTCTTCTTCATCTTCCTCTACTTTTTCGCCAAATGATAAAAGATTGAAATTTCTGTAACAAAATTTTTCATTACAAAGAATAATACTATCATGGATAAATGCTACAAACATATATGATTTTTACTTTACTCCTCCTGTTTTAGTTTTTGAACTGTCCTTTACTTCTTCACTTTCCTGTACTATTATTCTTGGTATAATATCAGAAAATGGATTGTTCAATAATTCAGCTTTTATCATTTTTGGAGCATAAAGTGGCCTATCATTCTACAAAAAAGAAGGGAATATTATATTTATATCAATTCTTGATATATTTTCTTATAAACATTAAATTTACCTCATCTACAAGTGCTTCTTTATATTTAAGCATGTTATATATAGTTTCTCCAGTAATCTTACCAAAGATTGTATGTTTATTCTGCAATTCTGATGTAGAACCAAGAGTAAAGTAGAATTGGGAATCATTATCATCTCTGCCACAGCAATTGAACCTCGTCGACAAAAAAGTAATCTTGTATAAAATTCGTCCTAAAACACAAATATCTAATAATTATTTTTGAAGAAAAGAAGCATTCATTTTATTTTTAAATATAGTCTCACTTTAAATTTCTCCATTACAGTTCTCCACATATGCTTTTACTACCTCCTCCTGTACCTTTGAGATCACCACCATATGCTATGAATCCTTGGATAATTCTATGAAATATAGTGTCATGAAATAACCATCCGTACACAATTGTATGAAATTTCTACTTGCCTTTGGAGTTTCTTTGGCCCATAATTCTGACTCAATATCACCAACAGTTGTTTTCATTGTAACCTTGTTATAACAAATATATTAATTTTATTAATGTAAAATATTTTTAAAATCAAAGTTATTAAAATTTATTATTTATTATTGTAATTCAAACTAGAAATTACTTAATATATTAATACAAAAATTTAGAAAGTAAATATTGTATATCAGTTAAATTTTTAAAAACAGATATGCAATCCATTGAAATATTATTAACCAATACTTATTACTATACCCTTACAATTAGTGGCTGGCTCTTGCATATAAATATTACTCATGTTTGTAAGTCTCCTGTAATAAAAAAAATCCTTAGTCAATAATATTTCGTATTAAATCTTTAATCATTTACAAATCAGTCAACCAAATGGTTCTTTTTTCTAATAATCATCAGCATGAAAGACCTACCTTTTACCTCCCTTTAACGTTGTCTTTATTGGCCCAATCAATTCCATGTGCCACAGCTCATTATTCCTGCAGCTTTTATAGTTTCCAAGTTCCTATTAATATTTCTACAGATTTTAGTTTTAATGCAATATTTACTCTCTATATTGAATTTATATAATTCTTGGTATCTAATGGCTCTATGCTCGTGATATTCCATGAATCCAATATTTTTCTACTGTTGCACGTGTCAGTTTATTTCAACAGAATATTGTCTTTTCATAACCAACCTGCATGGACACAACAAAGCTTCTGACATTTGTTTGCATTTTTTTCTCATTTCCTATGCTCTCTCCTGTTCACTTGGAGAAAAATTAACAAATCACTTAATTTCTGTGATTAATTTATGAACTTTTATAATTGCATCGTAAAGGCAGATCCTTCAAGAACTTTCCAATATAATTTTGGATACAAATTTGTCTCTAATTAATTAATTATTAGTGATTATTCCACAGGGTGTTTGAATTCTTGCCGTTCATACCAATAGTTTTTCAGAAATTACTATCTTCTGTGTAATCAATTTATGAACTTCATGCATGCATTATATAAACGATATCCTTAGATATGTTCACATATTATCTTTGTTCACATTTTGCCTCTAGTTTCGTTTAATATTAAATATTTTCACGCACAATCGTGCTCGTCGATGTTATCAAATCACGCACTCCATCAAATAATTATTAATAGCGAACTAATTAGCAACAAATTATATACAAAAACTGTACAGGCTGCTCAAAATTCCAGCTTCGCCATGCACCTATAAAAGTGCATAAATTAATTGTAGAAACTTCGTAATTTGTGATTTTTCACTGCTGCATCGTCGAACTTGTACTCCCTTTGTGAATAAAATAATTTAGTTCTTTATATAATTCTTACTTGGTTACGTTTGCCTCCAGAATAATTCATGTACATGGTTATAAAATATCTTAATAACATTTTAACATTTCAATATTATTTTATTAATAGACAATTATTTTTACAATTATAGGAACATATATTCAATGGCACAATGATTTAATACGTCATTTATCATTTAACGTTAACTTTCATTAATTACAGTCATTAAGTTTAAAAACAAATTACTTTTTTTTTTAGAACAAATCATGTACAATTAATTTTAAACATAAAAGTTATTGAATTTGCATAATATAAAACAAGTATGCATATATATTTATTTTGGACTTTGGTTTAAACTTTGGTAACCAGACACCACCATGGCTTATGTTTAAAATAACTGAATGTACAAATGAAATGTTTTGCTTAAATTAATTAATATTTTCTCATAACAGATATTTCAATTATTACTAACGCCTATAACCATTTGGATTATTTTGTTGCCATCTCCATGTATCTAAACCTATGATAGTTTATTAGAAGGTAATAAATTGTAAAATAAAATGTAAATTATTAAGGAAACAATTCTACATCACTGAAACCATAACTTACACATATCATCTATATTTTTAGTGGCCTGCCAACCTAGTTCTTTGTTAGCTAAACTAGCATCTGCATAACTAATGGATATGTCTCCTGGTCTGCGATCAATTATCTTATATGGTATATTTTGCCCTGATGCTTTTTCAAATGCTCGTATAACTTCAAGAACAGAATATCCTTTTCCAGTACCTAAATTAAATGCTTTAAATCCAGTAGAATTACGAATTTTTTGATAAATTATTGCCTTTACATGACCTACAGCTAAATCTGTAATATGAATGTAGTCTCGTATGCCTACAAAAATTAAATAATAATTAATATAAATATTTTGACTAATATAAAATAATTATCTGTAATATACTGATTTCACATAAATATTTTATAATTTTCATCTAACCTGTTCCATCAGGGGTATCATAGTCATTACCATATACATATAAAACTTCTCTTGTACCTACAGATACCTGAGCAATATATGGCATTAAATTATTTGGTATTCCATTAGGATCTTCTCCAATTTGTCCAGAAGAGTGAGCTCCAACTGGGTTAAAATATCTTAGAGATATAACAGACCACGTCTAAAAACTTTTACTAATAAATATTTTAAGTTAAAAAATAAAAAATATAGATAAAATTTAGCACCTTATCTGAAGTGCATAAGTCTTTCAAAATTTCTTCAACCATGTATTTTGTTTTTCCATAAGGATTGGTACAATCACCAGTTTTCATATTTTCAACTAATGGTAGCTTTTCAGGAATG